AACTCAGCTGTGTAGAACATCGCGCCACGACCACAATGAGCATTCCAGGCACAGCTTTACTAGTGAGGCCTTCAGAGTAGATAACATACTTTGTTTAAGATCGTGCATATCTTGCTAATTCGATTAATTCGATTCACTCCGAAGGTGTCTGCTTCTCATGTCACCGAGATCCACTACATGAATTTGCGTCAGGTATCGTGACCGCCGGGCGAGTCGCAGCTTCGAAGCGCGTCAACGAGTCCATTCTATCGCTGAGCCTTCCCCCCAAATCGCTGGTGCAAATTTTACCTTTTTATTGATGTCTTGGACTGCGAGGCAAACGTTGGTGATAAATGCTTGGATGAACGCTCCAGAACAAGGTTCTCGGCTGGAGACTGCAGTGTGTGTAGTAGCTTATGAGACTGCTTTCATGCACTTTCGCTAAAAGTCTCGGCTTCCCCAACTGAAACAACTTGAAAAACAGAAGTGCTTTTTCTAAGGATCAATAAGGAGGAGCTTTGTATTTACTATATTGTCTTGTTCATCTGGGACAGTGCTATGCGATTCACCGATTGCTCTATTCGGGGAGAAGCGCGTACTGCCAACCAGTCAATTAGCGGCATTGCAAAGTTGCTTTTTCCGTGTGGCAGTGGCCACAGCTTGTGAGCCACTGCATATTGAAACAGAAGACAGTTTGAAGCGCCGGAAACCAGCGTTTTCGTCAAAAGCAGTGTTGGAATTCTTGTAAACAAGGAGCGCTCTGTCGAAGTTCCACGTTGTGAATAGGCTCGCAGCGACCTCGGTAAGAGCTCGTGAATACCCACGTACACTTCCAGCCATTTCTGCTTACTCGGCATATGGACACGTAAACAAATGCCAAAAGCAACTGTGACATGAGCCCTAAATGAGTGACTGATGAACCCGCAGTTCATGCACGACCTGCAATACTCTGGCAGCAAAGGCCAGAAAGTATGCTCGATATCTTTTTCACAGCAGAAAAATGACCCCGCTCCCTATGATGGAGACATACTTGTTCAGAGCCTGTCCAAAAGGAAAATCGTTTCAGCCTCCCTTTCTCGTCTTCTTCGCGTAGCTTTCATCTCCCTAGCAGTAGCATACTTTCTGCTTATCTGTTTTCACTTCATCAAAATTGGACGGCTTTTGGCTCCGCAGAGCCGATACCTCGCAGATCGCTACGATGGATCATGTGATTGGGGCAACGCTGCAGAGCACAATGACAACGGCGAGGACAGAACGGCAGGAGGAACCCCAGAACATCGAGCGCAGCAGCTGACGAATGAAAGCCTGCTTTCGCCGCATTATCAGACTCATGGAGTGCACGAGTCTGTCACGGGAAGACTTAAAGGAGTAGGAGTTGCAGCGCCAATTGGAGAGGAGACACCCAGGACCAGTTTGGTGGAATGGGCACAGGAGCTTCAGCAGTATAGCTTGCATTCATGGGCAAACCGTAACCTACCTAGGCCAATAAGGGCTCGTTTAGTGAACCTATTCTCACGAATGGTGAGAGCTTCAAGGTTGTGTAGATCATTGCTACCAATGCTAACGCGCACACAACGCCTGCATGTGACGTATCTTGTGATGCGACTAATTGCACTGGATTTGGGAGCAATTTCGTTAGTGAGAGAGGACATGGAGCCTGCACGGCGAAGTGTGGGGGACTCTCTCATCAATTTGGGTCATGAATGTCTTGGAGGCAATAGCAGTGGTTCACAACATGATGGTCTTCGCACCGCGATTCGCCAACTAATAGGCTTAGTTGAAAAACTCAAACTGCCGCGACGCGTAGAATACGAATATGATTCCCTGAAGTACAGAGGTAAAATGCTGAGCATGATGGGTACTGCTGGCTTGGTGCTGAAGTATTGTTTAGGCGTTCTGGAGGGTTTACTTCAATCCATTTGCGGAGGCCCACGGAAGCTTCCAGATGCTATTGTTCAACAACAGTTCAATGTTCTAGAGGGACTTTATCGCGTACACGCTAACCATATTGGCACGGATAGAGCGCTTCGTAAGCACATTTTGAAGTGCCAGGAACAAACTAGTACGTATGACCTCCTTGGCGGCAAGAAGTCATTTTTGCCTACGGATGAGATTCCAAAATTATACATGCTCCAGAAACAGATAAAAAAAGCAGTCAGCAACGCCGGTGGCCTTCTACCACTGGAACAGCAAAGTGAATTGCACAGCAATAGTGCTAGCAGCACGCTCGTCAGAGATAGTCAACTGAGCGACACCTACGCTGAAGCACTGCACGGACAATGGGGACACCACATGCTGCAACGAAGCTCTGCTGCAGCGGAGCAGCAATCGCTTCACTTCGCAGCTTTCTCGGAGAGCGAAAACGTCTACGGAAGCGCGTCTTTGCCTTCTTCTGCATATCCACTGTGGCAGCCTTGGCAGCCGCTTTACCAAGGCCACGAATCAGTTGCGCGGCCCGTGCCGCAAGTCACTAGCAGTCCTGGGAATCAGCAGTCACAGTCAGTCTTGTCGCCGTCTCTTCAGGCATTGGGTGATTCTGCGATGCCTTGGATGGACACAACACACCAACACATTCAAGGCCTAGGTCCCCGTCTACCGTTGGCACCTGCTCTCCTTACGTGTCCCCATCTTCTTTCTGCTACTCAGTTGGCTGAGTCTGCCTTTCCTTTGGGTCAATTACAACGCCTTACACTTTCTGGGTGTGCTGTTCAAGCGCCTTTGGAGCCCACTGCACAGCTGCAACAAGGAGCTGGAGCTGAGCAGCCTGCGACGTTTGAGTCACCAGCAGCAGGTTCTCAAAGAAGTGGTTACAGCCTCTTCGGGCAAGGTGGCGTTCCTCCGTGGTTGCCATTTCCACAAGTGTCAGCTTTCTCTGTCGAAACGCGCACTCCTACAGGCCGTAGTTGGTTGGTCGGTCAGAGGCAAGGGATGCTCCAAGGTAGTACGTATGACTTCAACGAAGCAGAGGGCAGCAATCAGGTTGGACATTTTGATGACAGTCGCCAATGAGGAATTGGAATCCTACAACGCGACTCTACTCGTCTTTAGACTATGCTGACTTGAATTGACGAACTCGAATGACAGTGGCATTTCTGTCTTGTTGCATAATGATCCGAGGCTTCAACGGGATTCCACCAGTTGAGCTGCAAGGCAACTCATCAAGCGATGATCTTGTGCCACAATCCTTTGAGTTGAGAATCCGGGGCCCATCGGCGCTTTACTGTCTTTTGCATTTGGCGCCGATCTGTTTTGGTTTTCCGTTCTTCCAATATTGTCCTGGTGCTTGTGCAGCTCACGCTGGGTTGTGGTTGATGCAAGCTCCCCGCTTGCATATTCCAAAGCTTCTAAGTAGCGTTTCACATTTTTGGTCCTGTTGTGCCAGCATTGTTTATGTGCAAATTGGCTCTCTGCTTACTTGTTTGAAGAATTTGATGTTCGAAAAGGACCCCCCATAGTCAGGGTTTCGTCCCTCATTGACTGCTCGGCATATGAGCATCCCATGAAGAGTCTGTGTTGCCTGCGGGCTGCTGAATCATGGTTTAGGGTTGCGTGCGCACCCCAGTGAGCATCGTGCCTGTCCCGTTTTATTGGGCCGCAGTAGGGGAATTTTGGGGGGATCGGGAACACACGAGATAAAAAGCCATGAAACGTCAGTCAGGGCACTTCTTAGCGGTATGGGAGGGTTTCCAAAGAATTAGATTGAGAACGTAAGTTGTGTCGGCTTGACAAATGCATGTAGTTTCGAAGCTTTACTCGGTGCCATACGGGCGTGCGGTGCTGCTGGTACTTATAACAACGTAAAATCAAGAGGTACTAGACAGCGCACGCGGCACGGATCGAGACACAGAAGGGCCAATATTGTTCGTTAGGTAGAGGTTTGTTTGTTTCCGACGATACTTCTTAGCGCATTGATGATGGAAAGTCTGGCGGTGGTAGTGACCGGAGGCTCAATGAGTTCGTCGGGGCCGTACAGGGCCTAAACGCTTGGCCTCCCTGCAGAGCTTTGATGCCAATTGATAGCACGTTAATTGAAGACGCGCGGTACATCAATCGTGTGATCCGTCACAAGGCCTAGTCTAACGGGTCCGACGTTATTCGCCGCGCCAGCAAGCCCCCACAACAGGAAGCAACTGACTCACTGTGGTCTCCTTCGCGTTTGCTCACTCCCGAGCCGATTTTAACTCTCAGAAATAGCCCGTTTCATTTAGACATTATGTGCATGTTTGTAACTTTATCTGTTGAGCGCGCTTGCCTTGCCTTGCTTCGTCACCGTGGTGTCCAGCGCCTACGTTTAAGCACCCCTCTGACTACTGTACGTGGATGAACGTCGGCAAAGCACTACCTCGTTGCAGGTGACTGACTGCTAATAGTAAAGAGCTGGCGTTCGTTTGGGCCTCGGTAGAATTCGTTGTCCCGTAGGCCGGCTTGCTGTGTGAAGTGATAGCCTCTATCTATCTACGTGCTGTGCGTGTGCCTTCAGCGATACCGTGTAAATATTCGGGCCTTACAACGCTGTGTTTGTGCAGGGAGGTATTGCCCTGCAGGGGTTTTCGTTTGCGAGCACATGGGAGAGGCGACACTTGCATGCGGGGGATCGAAAAATGAGAGCTTTACCTTTGACTACGAAGGAAGCTGATATTACCATCTTTCATATAATACGACAGCCGTCTGCCTCTAAGTGGTACAATTCCCACACTCCGCAATGAAGGAAGAACCAGTTACTTCGCCAACCAGTCGCTTTCTTAATGCTCGGAACCTGAAGCCAAGACTCTCTTCTGGACAACTGCGGATCTCTGTCTTCCAATATCCCTATCTCATAAAATGCGTCGCCAAGGCAGGCGAAAGAGCAAATATTGTGGAGCAGCCTGCTTCACGGCGGTTCACCACCAGTTTACAGAGGTCAACGGAGATGCGTGCACCAGTGAAGTGGTGATCACGCTTAACATACCGAGTTGCTCTGTCAGAAGCCCCAATAAAATATCAAATACTTGCTGAAATGAAAGTGATATGAAGAAAATCCCTTCGTCTTCTTGGCACCTTTTACATTGAATAAGAATCCCGCCACATTCAATGATTGAACACATTCAATCATTGACCATCGAGCGAAGGCGATAAAATTTAGTGTGATGACACTTTGCATAGTATGTTTCCAGAAAGCGCTTATCGTGCAGTGAGGCTGTTTTGTGGAGAGAAATGATGGTTGATTGGGTAGAACTTGGCTTCCAGAGACGTGCATATTTCACTGTGCGATTTGCGGCTAGAGGTGATGTATATCAGTGGCTGCATCCGAATTCGCTGGAAACTTCGATGTGGGGTTGACCCCAAGCACTTTTTCTCTTTTGCGGGAACAAATAATTTCCCAAAATTTTCTTGATAAACAGAGCCAACCAGGGCAGAGGCCAGTGTTATCAACCCTTAAACCTGTAAGCCACGGGTGCTGGCGACGCTCACCTGAGGAATTTTCACTCGTTCATGTGAGGAGAAATGCTCTCAGCATTAGAAGACGCACAGAACCTTACTCCAATGTATTCGTTTCATAGAGTTTATCAGGGCGGGCCTCGAGCAACTACTCCCTTGCGCTTATTTGCTGCGGAGATGCATTGACAGCATTCGCGCACCTAGTGAGCACTGGACGAAAGGATAGTACGCGTTGCCGCAGCGCAGCGCTTCTGATGCAGCTTGAATTTCAAAGCGCACGAAATTGTGTAATTACAGTCTTGTGAACTAGAAGGAGCGCTTGTCGCTTTCAGTGTGCGAAATTTTCAACAGCAATGGAGCCCACGCATTACTCAGTGCCAGTTTTAAACAGCAGCCGCAAACAAAGTAAAACTTTACTGCAAACGCTACATGCCCAGAAGATGCAAGCAGAATAGAAGAGCTATTGATATTCAAGTTCCGAACGAGTGGGAAATAATCACAGAAGAGATGAACCCACACGCACAGTTCCTGCACGACCAGGCGTTCTCTGGCTGCAATGACCAGCAGACAGGGACGGATTCTTATTCACAGCAGAGCCGTGATTCCACTCCTGATGATGGACACATCCTTGTCCAGAGCTTGTCCAAAACGAAACCGTCTTCAGCCTTCCGGCCTCGTCTCCTCCTCGTAGCATTCACCTCCCTAGCAGCAGCATACTTTCTGCTTATTTGTTTTCACTTCATAAAATTTGGACGGCTTTTGGCTCCGCAGAGCCGATACCTCGCAGATCGCTACGATGGATCATGTGATTGGGGCAATGCTGCAGAGCACAGTGACAACAGCGAGGACAGAACGGCAGGAGGAACCCCAGAATATCGAGCGCAGGAGATGACGAATGAAGGCCTGCTTTTGCCGCATTATCAGACTCGTGGAGTGCACGAGTCTGTCACAACAAGTTTTCAAGGAGTAGGCGTTGCGGTGTCAACTGGAGTGGAGACTCGCGGGACCAATTTGGGACAGTGGGCACAGGAGCGCCAGCAGTATCCTGTGAGCGACTGGGCAAACCGTAATCTACCTCCGCCAGTAAAGGAGCGTTTGACGGGCATCTTCTCACGAATGGTGAGAGCGTCGAAGCTGTGCATGTCATTGCTACCAATGCTAACCCTCACACAGCGCCTGCACGCGACGTATCTTGTGATGCGGCTGATTGCACTGGATTTGGGAGCCCTTTCGTTAGTGAGGGAGGACATGGAGCCTGCACGGCAAAGCGTGGGGGACTCTCTCATCAGTTTGGGTTTTCAGTGTCTTCGCTGCAGCGGGGCTGACGCACAACATGAAAATCTTCGCACCGAGATTCGCCAACTAATAGGCTTAGTTGAAAGGATCAAACTGCCACGACGAGTAACCACGGAATATAATGCTACGAAGTACAGGAAGAAGATGCTGACCCTGTTGCCTACTTGTGGTTTGGTGCTGAAGAAGCATTTAGGCGTTTTGGAGGGTTTACTTCAATCCACTGGAGGAGACTCACGGAAGCTGCCAGATGCCGTGGTTGAGCAGCAGTTTGGTGTTCTAAAGGCACTCTACAACGTACATGCTGAGCATATCATCAACGACGACTCTACTTCTAAGCACATCCGAAAGTGCCAGGAACAAACTAAGACGTATTTGCTTCTCGATAACCAGCAAGTAGAGACGGATAAATCGTACATTCCGAAATTGAACGATTTGCAAAAGCGGATAAGAGAAGCAGTCAGCAACGCCGGTGGCCTTCTACGACTGGAACAGCCAAGTGCGCAACCCCACCACACTCATGTCAGGATGTTCTTTGGAGAGAGTCAAATAAGAGAGGCTTACCCTGGAGCACTGCATGGACAATGGGGACACCACATGCTGCAACGAAGCTCTGCTGCAGCGGAGCAGCAATCACTTCACTTCGCAGCTTTCTCGGAGAACGAAAACGCCTACGGAAGCGCGTCTTTGCCTTCTTCTCCATATCCACTGCGGGAGCCTTGGCAGCCGCCTTACCAAGGCCACGAATCAGTTGCGCGGCCCGTGCCGCAAGTCACTAGCGGTCCTGGGAATCAGCAGTCACAGTCAGTCTTGCCGCCGTCTCTTCAGGCATTGGGTGGTTCTACGATGCCTTGGATGGACACAGCACACCAACGCATTCAAGGCGCAGGTCCCCGTCTATCGTTGGCACGTGCGCCCCTTTCGCGTCCCCATCGTCCTTGGGCTACTCAGGCGACTGAGTCTGTCGCTTCTACCGCTTCGCTACAGCGGCAACGACCCGCTGGAGGCAGTGTGGAAGGACCCTTGGAGGCCACTGCGCAGCTGGGACAAAGGGCTCGAGCCGAGCAGCCCGTGAGGTTTGAACCACCAGCAGCAAGATCTCAAATAGGTGCTTACAGCCTTTTTGGGCAAGGAGGTGTTCCTTCCTGGTCTCCAGTTTCAGCAGCGTCAGCTGCCTCCGCTGATATACGTGGCAGTGCAGGTCGTGGTCAGGCGAGTAGTCACAGGCAGGGTCTGCATCACGCTAATGCAGATAGCGTAAATGAAGGGCAGAGCAGCCGTGAGGCTGGACATTTTGGTGAAGATCATTAGTGAGGTACTGTAATTCTACAGTGACTTGCCTACAATGTCTCCGACTTTGAACCCTATCAGCTTCAACGAATGCTGTCGCTGCCAGGTTGAACAATGATCGAGACTCGCAAGCCCCCCTCACGGTCTGAGCAGTTGTTCAATTTACTATGAAGCATTCCTGGTCACAATAGGGATAGCTTGGCGTGAGGTTAGAGTCTTGCGCCGTTCGTTTCAAATTGCTGACCCTTTCTTCCGTTCACAGCCAGCACGCAACCGCCACAACCTGTCCTTAACTCGTGCAATGCCACTTTTGGTACAAGCGTTAGCTTGGCCTTCGCTGTTAAAATTTTTCGAGGAGATACAAACAAGACACGAAGCAACATGCCTATTTGCCTATTTCATTCATGCATAACAAGCACGCTGTGAGGTGATAACTCCAGTACTCATTGAGAAGCCATCACGAAGGTCTACCAGGGCATTTCCTAGCAGCGTAGAAGTGTCATTGGAAACTTCCAAGGCGAGCTTTGGTTGTCACACGGGAAGCCATGACGAATGACAAATGCAAGCACCGACATGTTTGTGATATCAGCTGGGAGTTAGATAACCACCTCACGAAAAGAACGGCGTTCCGCAAAACCCATTATCCTGTCTTGACGCTTTTGTTCCACTGTTTTGTATTATGTTCAGTTGATGATATTACCTTACCAATTATCCTGCACTATCTTGACGCTTTTGTTCCACTCTTTTACCCTTGGTTCGTAAAAAATGCTGCGAAGCTGAGATATACGTGCTTTCCTGAAGTATCCGAATATGACATGAGCCAAGTATACACAAAGTGGTCATCATGGCCATCAGTGTGTAGAATCTTACGCTGTTGCTTTAGAACCCATCATATTTCGGTTCTGCGCTTATCAATTGCACTCTAAGCCGGCCAACCTAACAATGTTCTTTTCCCTTTAACTTCCTACACAGGGGCTAAAACTCCGGATAGTTACTCGGCTTTCATCTTCCTTGTGACTCGCCTGCCACCAGTTTTCCTTGTAGCTGTTATTTGCATCGTCTTTAGGAACATCCTGTAATGGCTTGCATGCGGTCAGCTTGCCTGCAACAGTCAGCCATAAAATGAAACAGCCTGCTTCGAAGTGTCGGATTTTAAGTCAGTGTGTACCAGCTCAAGTACAATATGAACGTCGCAAACCATTGTTGGCATGTGCGATAATTCCCAGAAATCGGCATGCAACCAAGGACCAACCTTATCGTGAGACCGCATCTGTGCTTCATCACATCCGGCAAAATTTGCAAGCTACTCGATTTCCCAAAACCATTGTTTGCGTTTAAAATGCTCACAATGGCGGCCACTAGAGAGTGAGGCCAAGCGTCAGCAAGACGAGTTAGCTTGGCGTCTTCTGAAGTTACAATTACGTAACTGACACGATTATACACTTCGCTCGTTATACACTTCGCTCAGAATTTTCTGCAAGTTCACGTTTCAAGTCCGAGAAGTATTAACCTTGCAAATGAGAAACTCTCCAGTGAAGGCAAGCTTAATGTTTCAGGCCAGGGTAATTGCATAAGAAGACAAGCAATGACACACCACGATTAGATTCCAGCTGGGACAACAGTAAAGGATCGAGAAAAGTGTTCCGAGGGCTTATCACCTGCTTTTTTCATTCAACACTATGGTACGCCTTCCTCCGAAGCGTGCTTGCTTGCCTTACCAAAAGCACCGTTCAGATGCAGTGGGTCATGGGTCCTGAACAATATCCAAAGTGGGAGTCAGACAACTGGGCGTCTGCCGCAGTCTACAAGGTACGGAAAGTCTTCTACTTTTTCCTCTCCAGATAGATGTCCACGTGCATTTGCCTGACTTGTATCGGCCCTTCGAAAGAGTTTGCAGGCTAAGCAGGAGCCTTCACTGCTACCAAAAATTCTTTCGAAGGTGCTTTACGTATGGTGGCAGCCACGGATGCGACGCGGCGCCTCCACACGGGCGGTGCCAACAGAATTGCGCCCGTACTATTCCTGAGTTGACCCATAGTCTTCATTACTACCAAAACGCCTTTGGAAGGTGCAGGGATGGTGCCGGGCCAAGGCGAGTTGGGTGCTCCTAGCCAACAGATTCTTGAGATGGTACTGTCGGAGTTGGAAGCAAAGTGACCACACTAGCCCGATCCAGAAGAAGAGCACATTTATATGAAAGCCTCAGTATTGCACGGAAATGGCTGGTTTCTCTGTAAGAGGAAGGGTTCAGATTGCTTATCTACGAGGGAAAACTAGGGCTATTAGGTGAGCAACAGCGTTCGCACTTTGCAGAAGACCTACTATGCCCAAGCAAAGCAAGCCTATCACTCAGCACGCGACCAGGTAACCGCTAAAGCTGCATATAACGTTACCATGTCACAGCGACAGTTTTTGTGCCCAGGCTCAAGCGTAGCAACAACGAGAGCTCCTCTTCGGATTGCAGAGCCAATAAGGGGTGCAGGACTCCCTAAATGATACGTAAATCGCCCGCCATAGATTGACAAGATATTTAGAGCTTAAATGTTTTCCCATGGTAGGTTTGCAGTAAACAAAAGCATAGTATTAAATGGCGCACAATGCCTCACGATGATCGTGCCCCACTCGCTCAAAAAATCTTCGCTAGCCCGTATAACCAGTGGAAGATAAAGTCCGATGGTGCTTCCTTTCAAAGATAGAAAAGAATTGAGAACTGAACAAGAATGCTTTTTAGAGGCTTCAAAGACGTTGAGCACATCAACATTGAGCTCCAGCGTATTCAACGTGATTCAGAAGAAACAGAGTGGCCCCGCAGCCCCACAAACACCTCGGCCACCCATGGAAGAAAGGCCTGTTTTTTTCTACTATATCGCTTCCGCTTGCTTAAGTTATGAACCGTGCATTAACCTTTGTAGAAGGGACGGTGATCACGGGTACAGCTCTGTTAATTGCAGCATTCAACACGCCTAATGCAATTTGAAAAGCACTTTAGGCGTGAAAGTGCAAATTCTTCGTTAACTCGTCACTTCGCCCACAGCGGGGCGCAAGTTGCACTCAGAGCCAGGTTGCTGCGTAATAATTATTCGCATATCCAACGCAGCACAAGTGAGAAACGGAACTTCAAGGCGTGCAAAGGATGCGCAACTGTGCGTAAAGTGGCGCGAGGTCCTTGCTTAGTCGTAGCTCAGCCCATCACCTGAGTCTGTGACTCTTGTTCGTCGTACAGCCTGATGCTCAACAGTGGCTTTTGATCAGGCCAGTGCAAGTCGATAGGCCTTGAAGGAAACAAAGAGCAACTCATTGACGGCCGCTCTGAGTACGGTCACGCGGAATGCCATTTCTTTCTTTGTCTCCATCGTCCTCTATAAGCCTATGGGCGCCATCTTCCTCTGGACGCGGCCATCCGTCGCTTGCAGTGGCGCGTCTTTCAAAAGAGGCAGGTGTCGCTTGTGAAAAAGGAAACCACGGAGGTATACCGCCACTTCCAAAAAGACTGTAACCCCGTTCTTGAATTGGCGCAGGTGGCTGCAGCCACTCTGGGGGTTCGTTTACATTCATCGGTGATAGCGGAGTAGCGGGCGTCAAATGCACTCCAGAACTGCCACCAGAAAAGTATCTAGCACCACGAGAAGCAGAAACATGCTCTTGCAGTAAGCTGCTACCAGGCGGATTTGCAGGATGCTGCGTAGTCGACAGATACGAAGAACCTGACAGGGAAGTGCATGGCCAAGGAGAACATGGGTACCCAAAATAAGCTTTCCCTCCTTGTGCGTGCGACCCAGACCTCGACGGACCAGCCACCGGTATGACGGCATGTGGATACCTAAAATATGGTGACTGGGCTTGAAGACGTTCGTTGAAGATTAATAGATGCTGTTGCAAAAACGGCCCAGCAAGTTGTTCAGATGACCACGCAGTTTGCCCCAGAACTCGCGGCGAACGCTGCGCTCCGTCTTCTGTGTGCGGTGCAGGAGCTATAGTATTAGATGGAGGCTGTTCTTCTTGAGCGAACTTTTCATGAAGCAGCTTTAGGGTCCGCGGTTTACTTCTCCCCGCATGCTGACCCACCATTTCTGCAGTCCTTTCTTCCACTGTGCTGCTAGCACTACCACGCTCCCCGGCATCTGGCTCTTGGGACGGCAGAAGACCTCCAGCAGCTCTTACAGCGTCATTTATATTCTTCAGTAAGTCTTTCAGCGGAGCAATCACGCCTTGAGATACGCTTAAATGGTGGTTTCCTAAAAGCCAAAACACGGCCGTCGACTTCTGGGATTCTAAAATGTGTACACGAAGTGTGCTGTCTTTCGCGATATGGTAAGAGTGAACATGGTAAATCGTTTTCAAAACGCTCAGCTGCTGCTCGAATACTTTCCACGGCAGCCTCTTCGCCGACGTATCTGTCCTTAGCCCTAGCAGCCCATTCAAAACGCCCATACAGTTCTTCAGTGCAGTTTCCGCGGTTCCAATTATGCTTATCATCTTCCTTTTGTACTTTGCAGCGCCCATCTCTTTCTCAAAATAACGTGGCTCCTTTATTTTCTCAAGTAAAACTATAAGCTCCTTGATACTAGCGCGAAGGTCCTCTTCACCTTGGCCATTCCGATCAAGTACGGACTGTGCCACCTTAATAAGAAAGTCGCCTACGGCCCTTCTATGAGGCTCCTTATCCTCCCTAACTAGGTACATGGCTCCCAAATCCAGGGTTAGCAGCTTCAAAACTTGGATTGTCAGCTGCAAACGCTGCTTGTGCGTCAACACTGGCAACAACGATCGGCATGAACTCGCAGCCTCTTTCATGCTATCAAAGAGACGTAGTAAGCGCTGCTCTTCTACCACAGGCATGTTCCAACCTTCCCATAAGTGCAAGTCATCTTGTACTTGTGGGTTAGAAGCAACGCCACCAGCGAATTCCCAAATCTCCTCGTCAGCCTCTGCCTCTAAATCTACTTCTGCTTCTGCGCCTCCAGCAGCGCCTTGTAATCCAGCAGCAACTACTTCTTCTTGTGTTCCTCCGGCAGTGCTTTGTAATTCAAAAGCCTCATGATGCAGCAAAGGGTTGCCTTCCCCGAAACCCTCCAGCACTAAACCTTCTGCCGAATCCCCCGTCGGCCAACTGCCAACATCGCCATCCCCAGACACACTGCCTGAATAGCATGATTCACCTCGACGATCTGCGAGAGATCTAGTGGGCGGAGACCACTGACGCGCAGACTCTATAAAGCGAAAACAAAGCAGCAAAAAATACGCTGCTGCCAACGAGGTGAACGCTACGCCGAGCAGACGACTCCAAGACGATACAAACAGTTTGTTGCTTTTTTTACGCTGGATAAAGGGTGATTCATCCGCGAAGCGCTGATCGATTTGCCTCCGTAGATGTGAATCGGAGCCTTGATGGGTGATGCTAGAGGCCAGCATGCCCTGCTTGAGCTGTTCCTCGGGCAGTGTGTCCATTGGACCAGACACCTCGCCTCGCGTATGCGGGGGCAAAGTTAAATTCCTTACCAGATTGCTTCCAGCATCAGTCCATATGTTGTCCAAAGAATGTAGCGTGGCACTTTTCGTGGCTACTCTAGAGGCCTCTGCAGCCGTTGCGCGGCTTCCTTGGCCATCGAAACAGTGGCATACCTAAATATGGCAGCATTGGTTTTGCATGCACTTTCTCCTCACCCAGCTACAGGAAAGCAGAATGTTACTTCCTGATGGCTGAAACCAAAGTGATAGTGTGATTCAAGTCAAGTTTAGTGGTTTCATGATTCCCGTTAGGAAGAAGATTGCGATGGTGGGCGCCCAGCGAAAAATCGCACAATGACATGCTGAAGACGAATGCGTTTCTCAAAAAGCAGGCTTATGAGAACGCTGGTATAATATTTCATGACTCCCTGCGTTCAACTCAACTTTCGGGGCTTCATGACTCTCTTGGGCAGCCGCTTGTCAAAGAAACTCCGGGCGGGAACGGCGCAGAGTCATAGCCATCATGATATGTATTTTTTCCGATTCTATAGCTACGCAAATCGATGGAGAATCTCGTAGCTATATCACAGTTGGAGCTCAAAGCCCCTTGCGGTAGATCTTGGAATTAGTGCATGAGCGTGGCAGTGTGCAGCGAGCACTGTTCATGACACCTGAATGGAGCGACGGCCTGCAGTGCTTACGCCCAGATTACAGTATTCGATATGGTACTTCGTTTTGTTATTAGAAGGAAGCAACAAGCCCTAGAAGTGTAGTGAATACCTCGTTCGAATCTCGCTGTGTCTGTGTTTCCCCACGCCAGGAATGGGTACTAAAGAAAACTAGGGGAAAAATGCATCCAACGAAGCATCGAGCCCGTCAGCCCAAAAGCACAGAGTATTCTTACTAAATTGTGCTCATCCAACCATTTATTCATTGTTCTCCGAGCTATATCCCAGGAAGTGCCGTGTGTCCCCAGGGGATCGATGGGCGTAGTTGAGTGTGCAGTAGTTCCTCGCATGACCCAACACAGTTGATGCCTCGTCCCTTCTTCGCCTCAAATCCACTCAACAACCAAAGCAAATGAATTCACACATTTTGCGCTGGCTAGGGGAGCAGTTAATTGCCATCAACGGTGTCTCGCTGCACAGTCTAAGCTACTCGAAGCTCGGGCTGCACTACTGCACTGCATATTTGCTTATTAGAGAGCTGTTACGCCTCGTTGCTCTTGCATTGAACCTTTTCATGCGTCATTTTGGCTGATGCAAGAAAAATGCAAAGTGTTGGAGCTGCCTCTCAGTGTGGCGATCCGGATTCGAATTGTTCCACGCTTGCCAACGACACCTTCTCTCACCAAGTACCAGAGGTCCACTACCTCCTTCAGGCAATGAAGATTTATTTAGCGTTGTGGGTGTTCCTGCGAAAATCCGTAATCATCGAGACCCAGAGCAAGCGAGGTATTTCTTTTGACGATTGATTCCAGGGCGACGCCGCCCTTCACTACCACACTGATGTGAGGCAGTGCTGCACTTCCGATCTATGTAGCTGAGGAATGCCGCATTAACGTGACGCATTAACGCTTGCATTTGTAGTGTTCTTGCTACGCCAATACATCGTTGGTGCTGTTCCGCTATGCTTTGAAAACGCCTACACCACGCAAAAATGTTGTCTGCTCCGCCCTCTTGGCATCTTCCGCAATTAGTAATTCGCTCCTGCTGAGACTGCCTTTTTGAACACCTTATGGTGATAGGCCACTTGCAGACTGCAGGAAAGGTGCACAGTACGTCATGTTCAGATGGCTACTTTTGCTAGGCATGACTGGGGCAAACGTCTAGTAGAACTAAACGGGCGGCAGCCCCGGCGCTGGTAGGCCTAATTCCGGAAGAAGTATCTTGTAGAATCGAGCGGAACGGCGAGCTCAGTGCTACAGTACGAGCTCCTGCTACTGCTGTTGCTGAATTTCGCAGTGCATACAAACACCCACTGAAGCTGAGGCAATCATATCTGAAGACTTATGAACGAAGTCGTTCTACAAGTTCAACGCAATTCGCAAAATACATCCAACAGGAAAATGTAAATTCCTCGTTAACTCGTCGCATCGCCTATAGGGCGGCGCAAGCTGCATGCAGAGCCGGGATGCTGCTAAGGAAGCCGACACAGTATAGGTGGAAAAAGGAATTTCAGGACCTGTACAGGATGCACAGGAAGCGCAACTATGCGGCAAGTGGGACGAGGTCCTCGCTTACTTATTGTCGGTCGCATCTCAGCCTGTGGCGTAAGTCTTTGGTTTTTTCCATTGTGTACAACCTGACGCACTTTGCATCGGCGCCCGAGCAGGCCACTGTAACTTCGCCGCATTCAATATCGGTACGCCTTGCGATTTAGAAAAAATAGCTCAGTGACGGCCGCTCCAAGTACGACCACTCGGGAAGCTATCTCTTGCTTCGTCCTGGCCATCCGGCATACGACGTTGGGCGCCTCCTCCCTCTCGCGGCCTTCCTCCGCTGGCAGTCGAGCGACTTTCTATAGAGGCAGATGAAGCCTGTGAAAAAGGCAACCAGGGGGGTATGCCGCCACCTCCAAAGAGACTGTAGCCTCCTTGAAAAGGCGCTGGCGGCTGCAGCCGCTGAGACGGTTCACCCACACCCACACGCGGTCGCGGAGAAGAGGACACCAAAGGCGCTGCAGCGCTGCGACCACCATATGCCTGCTGTGATGAGACACTATGAGGTGGACGTGCAGTCTGCTGCACGCCTGACGGTCGAGGCAGTCGTGTAAAAGGCATCTGCGGTGGGGGGAAATACGGATGGGTGCCTAAAACTCCAGTTGTAGGTGCTTGTGGCCGAAATTTTGACGGACGAGACTCTGGGAGAGACACGGGCGGAGAGACAAGCTGCGGCAATTGATCCTGAGGACTCCAGGAGGAACCAGGTGTGTGCAGTTGCTGCCGACCCGGTCCAGCACCTTGTCGAGGCGCCTGGCCAGGTCGCCACAGTGGTACTGTGGCTGGCGGTGAATGCATTTCCTCCACTTCTTCATGCGGCGTAGAAGTTGTGGTGTCAGATGAAAGCGTCACGGCTTCTGCGAAGCCTTCGTGCAGCGGCGTGTAGCTCGGCGATTTGCGCTGCTCCGAATCCTGGATACTTGGTTTTTCAGTCTGTCCCCCCAATGCTGCGCGAGCTTTTGCAAGTTTCATTCGAGGTGGCGTTCCAGCTCGGAGAAAACCACCAGCGTTCCCAACGGCGTCAAATATACTTTTTTGCATGTCTTTCAGTTTAGGGAGTTCTGCTCTTTTCGTTGTAAAATACTTCTTACTGATAATCGCACTCACACCTGTGTGTTTTTGACAATCTAAAATGTGTTGTCGAAGGGAACCGTCTTTGGACAGGTGGTCAACGTGGGCGTCGAAAATCGCTTTCAAAACATCCACCTGTTGCGCAACTACTTTCGTTGGCAGCGTCCTCGACGGATCTTCCTTTAGCTGTCCCAGCCCTTGCAAAACTCCTGCGCAACACTTTAGAGCCACTTCGGCAGTTGACATCAAGGCTATCATCTTCATTTTGTATTTTTGAGCTCTCTTTTCTTCACGGATATGCCGCGGCTGCTTTATCTGCTCAAGCAAAATTTTTAATTTTTCAACTTTCCGGCGAAATTTTCTATTCCTCGGGTCGTCGTCCACCTGCTGAAGTAAACGATTTATCAATTGGATGGCAGAGTCTCCTACGGCTCTCCTCTCAGGCTCCATGTTCTCCTTAACAAGTGATGCGGCTCCCAAATCCAGGCCGACCAATCTCACCACATAAAATACCACCTGCATGCGTTGCATGTACGTTAACACTGGCAATAGCGACCCACATAAATTCAAAGTGTCTTTCATGCGGCCAAAGAGATTTCTCAAACGCTCTTCTTGCTCCACAGGCATGTTCCGGCCTTCCCATAAGTGCAAATCAGCGTCTTCACTATGCGTGGGGTTAACGCCAGTAGCATCTTCCGAAATATCGAGATAGGATGTAGCCTCAGCGTCTACCTCTCGTGTTCCTCCGGCAGTGGCTTGTAATCCCGAAGCCTCATGATCTAGCGAAGGGCTGCCTTCCCCAAAACCCTCCAGCACTAAACCTGCCGAATCCCCCGTCGGCCAACTGCCGCCTTCATCGCCATCCCCAGACACACTGCCTGAATAGCATGATTCACCTCGACGATCTGCGAGAAATCTAGTGGGCGGGGACCACTGACGCGCAGACTCTATAAAGCGAAAACAAAGCAGCAAAAAATACGCTGCTGCCAACGAGGTGAATGCTACGCCGAGCAGACGAGCCCAAGACGATACAAACAGTTTGTTGCTTTCTTTACGCTGGATAAAGGGTGATTCATCCGCGAAGCGCTGATCAATTTGCCTCCGTAGATGTGAATCGGAACCTTGATGGGCGATACCAGAGGCCAGCATGCCCTGCTTGAGCTGTTCCTCAGGCAGTGTGTCCATTGGACCAGACACCTCGCCTCGCGTATGCGGGGGCAAAGTCAAAATCCTTACCAGATTGCTTCCAGCATCAGTCCATATGTTGTCCAAAGAATGTAGCGTGGCACTTTTCGTGGCTACTCTAGAGGCCTCTCTGCAGCTGTTGTGCGGCTTCCTTGGTCATCGAAACGGTGGCAT